AACTCAAGGCAACTTGAAACAAGTAAAAGTGACACACAACTGCAAAAAGGATGTAAAACATCACAAAAAGCCTCTAAAAGACAGACGAGTCTTACCAACACCAAGAGGAATAAAACATTACAAAGCAACTTAAAACATATATGAATAATTTTAAAACTCCAAAAGACCAGAAAAAGAATTTTAAAATGATGAGAAGAGACATAAAAAACCGACAAAGCTATGAAATATATAAACGGACATCTAAAACTACACAAAGATGTAAAAGATTACAAAATGTCTTAAAATGACAGCAAAGAGACAGAAAACAACAATGAAGCAAATTAAAAATAAATAGACAAAATAAAAAAACATAAAAAATTAAAAAATGAACAGACATGAAAACAGTTACAAAAAAGAAGATTTAGAACCACAAATGATTGAAAACATTACAAAGAGCCTTCAAATGATGACAGAGTCTTAAAATGACATCATAAAGACATAAAGCAACTAAAAAGAGACTTAAAACTACAAAAGACACAAAAGCATCAAGAAATAGGAGACAGAAATTAGAAAGACCCCTAAAAATACGACAGAGAGACTTAAAACAACTAAAAGCACGTTTATTAGAAAAGCTGCTGGTTTGATTCCTGTTGCATGCATAAAGGCCGGGCAGCGTAACGCTCAGTGGTAAGGCAGCAGCTGAAAGTAGCTTGCTTTAAAAGACTTAAAATATCTATAAAGAGACAGAAATCAGCAGAAGCAACTTAAAACAGCTAAACAGAGACTTTAATTAACGCTCTTGATTGAATTCTGTCTCCTCTGCGAGACTCTGGGGGGTCCTTTTCACACCTGTCCTCAGAGGCTTCGTGATCACGTGTGATAGAGAAAAAGAAATCACACTAAGAGCTTAAAATAACATCTTATTTCTTTTCTCGCGTGTGATTTGTTTGATTTGGCAAAGACTTTACACCCTTCCTGACTCTACCTTCCTTATTTATCCGGCCTCGGGAGGAAACTGGCTTGTGGGTGACGATCCACGAGCAGCAGTGTGACTTCATGCTGAGAAAAAGCTCTGCAGATGTGATGTTTGCTTTGAGGGTGTGTAGAGCTGGTCAGAAGGAGCTTTACTGTGTCTTTGTGGATTGAGAGAAAGATATGATATTGGTACCAAGAGAGGAAGTGTGGTGTTGTGTGAGGAAGTCAGGACGTGTATGAGGACAGGGAGACTGTGGTGAGCTGTGAGAGGTAGGAGTGGCACATGGGCTCAAGGTGGGGGTGGGATTACATCAGGGATGGGCTTTAGCCCCTTCTTGTTTGGGGTGGTGATGGACAGGATGACAGATGATATCAGAGAGGAGTCTCTGTGGACGATCGTGTTTGCAGATGACTCTGTGATCTGTGGTGAGAATATGGAGCAGGTGGAGGAGAGGCTGGAGATGTGGAGGCATGAACTGAAGAGGTGAGCAGAAGCAACACAGATACATGTGTTTACATATCCGGGACTGCCCATCCAAAGGTAGGGGGGGTGAGAAAGCAGGCAGGGTGGACTGAGTGGAGATGAGTGTCAGGGGTGATTTTTGACACGAGAGTGAAGGCGTAGTGAGACCTGCTATCATGGTTGGGAGAACAGAGTTAGAACAGGAAGCATCTGAGGGACAGGTCAGACATGTGTGAGGAGGGAAGACCGATGTGCCGGACAAAGTTCGTTGAAGGCAGGAAGGAAAAGGAAGACCTCAGAGAAGATTCCTGGAAGTGGTGAAGGAGGACACGCAGAGGTTGGTGTGGCAGCCGTGAGCTGGAGGCAGTGATCTGCTGTGCCGGCCTTTACAGGGTTAAACTTCTTTATTGTTATTTTTCAGTATCTCTCGATGACTCAACACCTGTTGGGAGACGCAGCAGCACTTTTATCATCAGGCACGATGAAATCTCCTGCATGTGTCGCTCAGTTTGTGCGTCTCTCTCCATTAGATCCTCTGCTTCGGTTTCTTCTCGCTGCTCTGCTTCTTCCCTCCCTCATTCACACGTCTCAGGTTCTCATTTGTGTTTCTTTATCCCTCACGTCTCCATGTGTCTCTACACCATCTCTCTTCACTCCCCCATCCCCCTTTATTTTGATATGCATCTCCTCACCCCCTCTCTTTCTCTCTCTTATACATTTGCAGGCTATACATTTCCACCGCACCTCTCTATAGGTCTCTCTCTCGCACACAGCACTTATATGTCTCTCTCTCAGTTTCTCTCTCCACATCTGGCTTTGGGAGGAGAAAAACAGCAGATTAAGGAGTTGGACTGAACCATTAGGGGCTTTTCGGAGGGGGTACAACAGCTGGTTTTCAATTAAAAAGACAGCGCGCTCACTGTCCCATTCCTCTCAACGACGCTCGTTTCCTCTCCGCGTTAGCTAACGTCCTCAGAGGAGCACCGAGCCTTTGATAAGCCGGTTAATCTATTGATAATTGGTTTAAATGACCGCTTCTAATTGGCCGTATCCCCTCCCAGCTCAGCGCAGAGTGGTACGCTCCAGCTGGGGGGCTGTCTGTGGTGGAGTAGGGGCAGACCGAGCCGAGCCAAGCCAAGGCAGGCTGTGTGTGAATGGGAGACCTCGCCGCGCTCCTGCGCTCTGTGATCTCTGCTCTCTGGATTATTCCTCACTTTTTTAAAACCCGCAGGATTTTGCGGTGACCTGTGCGGGCTCCTCCTGCTGCCTCCAGCTGAGCTCACCTCACTCAGGTTTTATGTGAGGAGAAGAAGAAGAAAGGCAGCAGAAGCGCGTGGGACTGTGTGGATTTAAATAACTGATCGGACTTTTCTGCGCGTTCCCGTGCAGGTAGGTCTGAGGGGTTCCGGAGGGGGTAGGTGGTGTTTGGAGGTGGAGAGGCCGGTGATGTTCTCCAGGTCCGGGCGGCTGATATGGGGGTATCGGGGTGGTGGCGGTTGTGGAGAGGGGTGTATGAGTGAGTGGATGTTTCAGGGGGGAAAACGCCTCGCTTGCCCTGCGCATCACCGCTCATCAGCTGCTCCTGCTGCCTGCTTTTCCCCCCTTTCTTTATTTTTTACGCGTGGAAATTTCCTCCTTCTCAATGCTGCGAGTGGGGATGAAGGAGTGGGACTTGAGGGTTGGTTGATACCACAGGTAGGGGCTGCTTTCGCCCTCGGGGTTTGGCCTGTGTTACGGCACCAAGCGGACCGCTTCGCTCTGCGTTTTTCCTCCATTTTAAAGTGCGGAGTTCGGTGCGTAAAAGAGGCGATTTTGAGCTGCAAGTGTGTGTTTTTCTGTGTGTGGTGAAGGGGAGAGTGGTGGGGGAGGCTGAGGAGGAGGAGAAGGAGGAGGAGGAGGGGGTCTGGGAGGTAGCACAGCTCCAGACGCCGATCCATTAAGGAAGAACAAAGGGGGGGAAGGCGGCAGAAAAACGTTCAAAACCGCAGCCGAAACCCCGGAAACGCGTCCGATGGTCGCCCCGAACTCTGCGGACGAACCGCCGGCTGCTGCCGAGATCCACGCACCAAATCCGGATTTGTGTTTTTCTGAATCCGCCTTCATCCGACTGCCCATGTGCCGAAGAGCAGCCTCGATCTTCTGGATCAGCCCCGCTCACGGAACCGAGACCGGCACATTTCTGATCCCGGTTCGGCGAGTTCAGGGTCGGGGTTTATTTCAGAGCCGCGATCGTGATGATCTCATTGTGATCGATGTTCTTCCTGACACACTCAAGTCACACCAGGCTGAAGGTTATCAATCAGAATCCCGACCAAACAGACCGCGCTGATCCTCAAGTAACGTTTGGATCACAGTCCCGGTAAAGGATCGCTGATGTGTTTACAAGTCGATCAATGATGTGATCAGTTTAACAACAAACAGTCCAAATCAGGTTTCGGGACCAAACGGCCCCAAATAGCGAAAAAATGAATCGATAACAAAAAGAATCAGTTATTAAAAACGGATTAAAACATAAATTTGCTGCAGAAGAAGAAGAAGAGGAATCAACCTGCACAGGCGATCAATAATCACACGATCAATAAGTGATGTGATGGGCTGTATGATAATGACTGATTGAATGGAAATGGTGCCAGGAGTAGCAGCAAGTCTCCCCCACATGTGTCCTTACCAAACAGATGTTCAGCTAAACACTGATCCTGTGATCAATGATCTGATCGATGGCAGGGTCAGATTCAGATCAATAATAAAGGAGACAAATTTGAGATTAAATAATGACTCCAAACCTACGTGAAGAAAAGTGCAAAAACTGATCAGAGATGACGGTGGATCGAGCACTTTGATCATCAGTTAATCGCACTGATTGATCATTTTAAGCAAACAAACACAAAGAGCTTCTGTTTGAACCGTCGTTCAAGAAGTCGTCTCAGGAGTTTCTTCAGTGTTCTGGTGTTTTTCTAACATGTTCCCCTTTTCACCAGGACAACAACCAGCTGATTAACCAATATCCCAGATAAACACATTATCTGCAAAGAGCGAGCTTCACAAACTCTTTTCCAGAGAGACATGGATCAGATAACGGCAGCGCACAGAAAATCAAATGGAGATCTCAAATGAATCGTATAAAAAAACATCAGAGCGAAAATGAAGTTACGTTTGAATCAAATATAAAAAGTAACGAGAAAAAAAAACATCTTTAAAGTCCAAACAGCAGATGAATAAAAGCCAAGAAGGTGATGATGACCACAGAGTTGAAG